CATTTACCAAACGTGAGCGACAAGAAATCAACACAAAATCAAAGGTTGTTGTGAACGCTGCAGATCAATCCTCTTGCGGACTACAACGTTCTGTATTTGGAGCGGTAAAGAATCTGCTGCGAATTTTATCAGCCATTCCAAGCCTAAATATTCAAAATATTCAAAAGTAGCTAAAATGATTTCATATAAACCACTAAAACGCACCCATAAAAGACCAATGATGGTGTCTTCACTAAGATCATACTGATCCTTCAACGTAAGCAACGCATCAACGAAATGTTGCTTTGGTCCGCTAGACTTTTGACGAGCCAAAGTGTGCTCCTCCATGATAGCTCGCGTAAGGCGGTCACGACGAGCACCGTGACTCGCAAACGACTTCTCATCGGCCGGAAACATCCACCGGAGCCACGGGATGTGTTCAGCTATCGACAGTGAAGCACCTAGCTTTAGACCGTTGGATACTATGGCCTTGAACTCAAGCCCTTGCTCGTCCATCACACCTTCAGCGTTTTCAAAACGTTTCCCAAACGCTAGCCGCGTTATGTTGTTGAACGCAACCGCTCCTAAGTACTTCCTCAGTTGTAAACCTTTCATTTTGTTTTCTGAAGACAATATATAACAAATTCAGTATTAAGGAAAACATTAGGTTAATTGCACATTTGCACTAATGATCATGAACATTTATTGACTTAGGCAAATTATTTACAACATTAACAAAGTGCGGCTATTTTTCTAACTAACATGTTTTGATTTTAATAATAGAGTGCACTGTTGTTCTCTAAATAACATGGTACTTTAGCATCTAATTATTATTTTTTTTTCAAAAAATATTATAATCATTTACTTAGCTAACCCTCGCAATATGGTTATCTATCTGATTGACCCATAACATTTTTTTTTTTATATCCTTGACCCATAACATTACTGATATTCAATTAAAACCAAACAACAAAACCATAATAAGATTCATAATTAACTAAAATCGAAAATAAATTTAATTTGACGTTGACAACAATAACAAAGAGAACATAAAATATAATTTGGTCTTTTTTTTTTTTGATAATAAAATTTGGTCATTTCCGACGTTAAGAGTAAAGGCAACGCGTGGCTCACGTTAATTTGTATGAAAAGACAAATCTGGCATAAATCTCGTTCATTCCAAGAACAAAAAAATACGATTTTGAGTAAAAAATGTTCTTGCCGCTTTTGTTAAATCGAATTTTCCTTAATCAGAGCATTTTCACACAAATCTATCCAAAATTCTCTTTTATTCTTACCACTTTTGAAAGATCTTCTTCTAGATTAAAAAAAAGAAAACTAAAAACAAGATTCTCTTCATGAAAAGACGACGTACCAGGAAGGTTACAGTCATTGAAGACGGATTCAACCATGGCAGTGACCTCATCTTCACGGATAGGTCTAAGTGACTCGAGTCGTTTAGGTGTGAAGAGCTCAAGCGTGCAAACTTTTCTAACCTTAACGTAGTGAGGCCCATAATCGGCCCATATCAGATCTTGACCGTTCCGACTAAATGCTTCAGTCGATCTGTTCCGGTGCCGGTCGGCGAGTTTCTGGTCGTGTTCTTTCAAGACTTCTTTTGCTAGCTCGGCGCTAGATACGACGACGTTTAGTATCGAACCGATCCAAACCGATATGATTGGTCCATACGTTTGAGCCCACTCGTAATAGCATCTAAACCGGACCGGTTTTATGTCGTAGAGGTTACCGACGATTGGTTTTGGAGTTGGGCCTGGTGGGAGCTTGAATCTTAGCCGTTGGATTAGCTTGTAGGCTACGACGGCGAGGATTGTCGCCGCCGGTATAAGAAACCACGACATGGGATTTTAATTGTGTGTTTTTTTTGGGTTAGTGAAGAAAATTGATTATTATTTAAAAAAAAAGGAAAGAGAAAAAAAATAGTGAATTTCACTTTCAGAATTCTGGATAGGTGTGGTCGAGACTTTGATTTATATTAGGGTGGGGGTTGGTGAACCGATTTATTTTTGTTTTAAATTAATAAATTCTGGAATATTTATTGTTTTTATGAAACAAATATCTTTTTTTATGTAAAAACAGGAAAATTAAATTGCAAAGTTCATGGCAGAAATAAAAAAAGTGGATAATGTCTATTATTGATGATGTAAGTTAGGGGAAAGTTGGTGGAGAGACGAAAAAAACAGAGATGGACGAAAATCCATATACAGATTTTAGATTTTTAGTCTACTTGAATATCAATGTTTAATTTAGTTTTGAGGTTTTAACTGGTTATACACTATTTTATCAGTTGAGCTTTAGTTGGATTTATTAAGCAGCGTTCATAATTATAGGTGAAAAGAGTAGTGTTTTTATATTCCAGTTAATTGGGGTGAGGTAGGCAAAACATCTACCTGTTTTGTGTT